GGGGCTGGGGCTCAGACGTGAGAGGGGCAGATGAGCCACAGACTTGAGGCTGGACTGCAGCCAGGGGCTCACGGGCCCTCCCTGCCCCTGACTCCTGGTCACTGGGGACCTCCTTCCCGTCACCGACAGCCCGAGCTGCCCAGAGCCCCATCCTTCTCTTCAGCGGCAGGAACAAAATGTCACATGCCAGCATGACAGACTAGCTGCATCTCACCTTGCAGGTGGGGACAGATGCCCGGGGTGGGGGTGGGGTGAGGGTGGGGTGGGAACGAGGCGTGCCTAGGGTCACCCAGCAGCTGAGGCAGAGCAGTGACAGCACCCCGTTCCCTGGGGGTGGGGACGAGGCGTGCCTAGGGTCACCCAGCAGCTGAGGCAGAGCAGTGACAGCACCCCGTTCCCTGCCCCCAAGTGCTGAGTCCTACTCCAGCTCCCAGCAGAGCAGAATCCAGCCTGGATCAGGTTACAGACCTCTATGGGGACAGGTTACTGTTATTTTTAAAGTTACCAAGCAGGAGAATGAAGGGGACAGACCACCAGCCATGACTATGGGCAGCGAGGACGGTGACCTGAAGGCTACGAGAAGGCAGGTCCCCGCTCTCCGTCTGCCCTGCGTGGAGGACGGAGGACGCAGCTGGGCTTGGCCAGGTGCAGCTGGAGGGCAAATTGTGGGCACAGAGGTGACGCGAATGGCTGGAGGGAAAGGGACCACAGTGGTGGCCAGAGGCCAGGGCAAGCCCCGCCCAGGGCTCAGGAAGACAAGAACAACTCGCCCTGACCCTGAAGAACACTAAGGAATGGCTAGGGTTAGCAAGTGACCCCGTCCCGCCAGGGGTCTGGTCACAGGCCTTCTTCCCAGTAGAAGGGACATGGGTAGAGCCACCTCCAGCTGTCACCAGCAGAAGAGGAGGGCCTGGAGGTAACAGTAAGACTCTTGCACAGCACCCACTGTTTCATGTGACACATGCCAGGTCCCTATCAGCTGGTCACTCCTACCACTCCCGGGCGGTCCTCCCAGGTATCAACCCATTTTGTAGGTGAGAAGACAGAGCTTAGGGAACTTAAATGACATGCAGAAAATGAACACAGGCAAGACCAAAACCCAACACTTTGCTCACTGGGGGGCCCTTGCCTGGACAATTCAGGCACTGCAAGAAAAGATCCTGAAGAACTTGGGTGGCCCAAGTGGCCTCAGTTCACCCCGGGCTTGGTGAGCTTTTCACCTGAGAGGGCCTGGCCCTGCAAAGGCCCACTGGCTGCTCAGCAAACACTGGCTGGCTCAGGCCCATCAGGGGCGGTGTTGCCACTGGGTCCCTGGAGCAGGGGCAGGACTGGGCTGATCTCTCTTGCCTCCCATCCTGGCCTAGCCCACCACGCCCCACCTAGGCACCCGGCCATGGTGTTTCAGGTAGCTGCAGTTTGCCCTGGGCACAAAACCAGGGAGCTGCTTGTCCCAACCTGCCTGATATCTGACCTCTGACCCCTCTGAACAGGGAATGAAGGCCGCTCCATCTTCAAGGGGTGGTCCACAAAGTGGGGAGTCCTGTCATCCCAGCCTAAAGCTATGTCAACTAAGGTCAGGCCTGGGGAAGATGCCTGTTTCAAAAGAGCCCCAGAAATCAGGGAGGGGCCCCTGGGAATCCACAGGCCTAAGAGCCAGGGCGGATGCTGTGGGCAGCATGAGTGCATTGGCAGCTGCAGAGACCCTCCACGGCTGTGCCCAGGCCCCCGGGCCAGGCCGGGCTGGGCCGAGGCTGCAGCCACCTTGGGACGCTCAGGATCCCGGGTCAGGTCCCGCTGTGGCGGGCGGGGAGCCCTCAAAAGCCGCGCCAGACCCCTCCTGGAGGCAAGACAGCCATTCCAGGGTCTCCTCCCAAGGCTCCCCTCAACCAGTTGCGAAGAGGCGGTGGCGCCTGAGGGGTTAAAACAATGCAACATTTGCCCTGCGGGCACGCAGAGGATGCTGCAGGGCTGGGGGGCTGGGACCTGAGCCTGCAGGCACAGGGTACGGGGGCGGGGGCCCCGGAGCACTCTAAAAAGACGCCCACCTTCAACCGAGATGCCTACTGCCACCCAGGTGGGGGTACTGCGACGCCTCAAAGCTCGTACTAGCTCGGCAACCTGGCCCGAAAAGGTCCCGAGTCGGGGGTCGCGGGTACTGCGCCCTACCTTTTACCTGGCACCAGGTGAGCCGTGGGAAGGGGCGAGCAGAGGGCTCGGGTCGTTGGTGGTGCAGGTTCCGCGCCGCTCATTGGAGACCGCACCGGGCGCTGCGCTCGCCCCGCCCCTCCCGCCCCCGCCTTCCGCCGGCGCTGCGCTGCTGCAAGGTCGGAGCAGAGCCGGGCGGGCGCCGAGGCCGCTGACAGGCGGGGCCGGGGCCGGCTCCAGGACGCGGCGGGGCTTCCCCTGCCTGAGCCGGCAAAACCTCCGGGCGGGGTGGAGCCTCCCGGGGGCGGGGCCGGAGCTAGCCGCCCGCTCACCTGCAGCAAACTCCGCCCCCACCTGGCCTCTTCCCGGGCGGGGAGGCTTCCGGCCTATCCAGAGCAGACGGAAATGGCATCAAAGGTCGGGGACGGGGGTGGACCTGCTGTTTAACAGGACTTTTTCCCTGGAGGGACAGCCTGCTATCCCAGGAGTACAGGAGTCCGGATTCCCATCGATGCACTTACTGACTGATTCATCCAACAAATATTGATCGAGCGCCTGCACCTTCTTAAAGCATCTGAGATCCAACCACAAACCAAACGAGAGCCCTGCCCTTCTGAAGCTGCCATTCTACTGAGGGGGTCAGACAGTACACGGTGATCCATGGAATAAACAAGTAAACTACGTCTGATGGAAGGGTGGACATTTTATGGAGACAAACAGAGCAGATTGGGCCAGGCGAGGAGTGTGCCCGAGGAGACAGAAAACCACCAAGGACACTCATAATTCAGGGAGTGAGCGGAAGTGCTGTAAAGGAAACGAGAGAGGGCAGATAGTGGCGTGGCGCTGCTTTAACTGGGGCGGCCTCTCCGAGAAAGGTGAATGGTGAGAATGAGCCACAGGGAGTTCTGGAGGAAGAGCATTTTAGGCTGTGGGGACTGCGAGCTCAGACTGACGCAGAAACTAGACTGATCATTTGAGGCACAGATAGGGGTCAGTGTGGCCTGGCCTTGGGATGTGGGTGGGAAGGGGCTCAAGGTCCCAAAGGGACCAGCAGGTGGGGCAAGGTCTTCCACAACCTTCCATCCTCAGTCAGAAGCTTAAAGAGCTCTCTGGACTCAAACACCTCTGGTACTCTCATGGGATGCTTTCCTTCGAGGGAGAACTTGGTCACGTTCAGGATTATTTTTTTTTTAATCCAGCAAGCTTTTCTTCTACAGAGAGCCTTGTGGAGGGAAGCTAATATAATAATGTGAAGATAGTAACTATAGTAGCAAAAGTCTGGAAATAACCTAAATATCTTTCCACAGGGAACTGGCCAAATAATTAGAAGGAATTGGTTCAACAGAACACTCTCCAGCAGGAAAAGAAAAAAGAAAAAAATATAGAAGACACAAAGTTATATAAAGTATGGAATGACCTCCTAATATATTGAGTAAAAGCGAGGGACAGAATAAAGTGGAATCGTGCTACTCTTCGTATTGAAACAAGGCAAATATTTACTTGTACTTAAAGAGGGTGTCCTGGATGGCTTACTCAAAAAGCTAGAATGATTGCACCCCCATGGTCACACTGTAAGCCTTTCCCCACTGCTCCCTCATCTTGGGAAGTTGGGGCATGTATACACTGAAAATGAAATACTTATAAATAATTATTAAAATATATATTACATATATTATATAGTTATATATATATATATTACATTATAGTTAGCAACATATGCACACAATCTACGTGATAAAAACTGTAAGACTGGGAACCAGCAGTTAGCGTAATGGCTATATCGCTGGACTCCCACGTAGTCGACTGCAGTTCGCGACCCGGTGGCTTAAAACTCACGCTGGGCGCATGTGTGTGCGAGACCAAGATCCCGAGAGAGGAGAATGGAGAAGGGATTGCGGCGTGACCATCCCCTCTGGGGGGTGATTTCTCGCTTTCTGTTTCTATGTCTCTCACTGTCTCTGGCGAGCGCACACGCCCTATAGTGAAAAAAAAAAAAAACTCTCCAAAAAAAAACAAACAAACTGTAAGACTGATGAAAGAAATACAACATAACTAAATAAATGAAGAGATATCTCATATTCATGGATAGAAAACCTCTATGGTCAAGATGTTGGATCTTTCTAATTGATCTATAGATTCGATTTTATCTCAGTTAAAATCTCAGCAGGTTATTTTGTGGTTATCGGCAAACCGATTCTAAGATTTCTATTAGAAGCAAGAATTCAGAACAATTAGCCTGATATTGAAGGAAAAGAACAGAATCAGAGAACTGACATTTCCTAACTTGAAGACCTACTCTCAAGCTACAGTAATCAAGACAGTGCAGTATTGGTAAAAGAAAAAACAAATAGATCAGAACAGAATGGAGAACCCAGAAATAGACACACGTGAAAATAGTCAATGGATTTTTGACTAAGGAGCAACGACAATACACTGGAGAAAAGATAAATGGTGCTAGAACTCCTCGACATCCACATGCAAAAACTAAATTGTATACCCTTTACAAAATTAACTCAAAGTGGATCATAGACCTAAATGTAAAATGCCAAACTATAAAACTCTCAGAAGATAACATAGGCGAGAACCTGGGTAATTTGTGTTTTGGTGATGATTTTGTGGCACCAAAGACACAATCCATTGAAAATATTATTTTTCCCTCTAAGACGCTGTTAAGAGAATGACAAGACAAAGCACAGAATAGGAGAAAATATTTTCAGACGATGTATCTTTTTTTTTGAGAGGTTTTTCATATAGGGCACGTGCGCTCGCCAGAAAGATAGAGGCAGAGAGACAGAAAGCGAGAAATCACCCCCCAGGGGAGATGGCCATGCTGCAATCTCTTCTCCTCCATTCTCCTCTCAGGATCCTGAGCACACACGCCTGGCGTGAGTTTAAGCCACCGGATCTGGGACTCAAACGGCGGTCAACTACATGGGAGTCCGGTGACATAGCCATTATGCCAACTGCTGGTCCCCAAACGATGTATCTTAGAAGAACTGTTAACCAAAATATACAAAGAACTCTTACAATTCAACAAGAAAACCAACAACCCAATTAAAAAATGGGCCAGAGACCTTAATGGATACATCACTGAAGACTTACAGATGGCAAACAGTACATGAAAAGCCATTCTGCTTCATATGTCGTCAGGAAAATGCAAATTTAAACAATGAGATACAACCACACACCTATGAGAATGGCTAAAACCCAGAACACTGACATCATCACATGCTGGAGAGGATGTGGAGCAACAGGAACTGTTATTTATTGCAGGTGGGGTGTAAAGTTAGAGAACAACCTTGGAAGACACTTTAGAAGTTTCTTTTCTCCTTCTTGCTCTTCTTTTGATTGGCAGAAGGTATATGTGCTTGCCAGGGAGAGACAGAGTAACAGAAAAAGAGAGAGAAAGAGAGAGAGAGAGAGAAAGCAGCCTCCAATGGGTGTAGCCATGCTGTAATCACTTCTCCTTCATTTTTACATCCTTTTGGGATTTTTGGACCCCCCACAAACCTGTTGTTTTTGAAGCTGCCAGAGCCAGAATTCAGACTATAGTTAGCCATGTGGAATCCGTTTCCCTTAACCAATATGCTATGGGCCCAACTCTAGTTTGGAAATTTCTTACAAAACTAAACATACTTTTCTCATATGATCCAGCAATCGCATTCCTTGATATTTACTCAGAGGAGTTGAAATTTATGTTCACACAGAAACCTGCACATGGATGTTTATAAAACTTTATTTACAATTGCCAAAACTTGGAAGCAACAGAGATGTCCTTCAACAGGTGAGTGGAGAAGTGAACTGTGGAACATCCAGACAATGGAATACTATTCAGTGCTAAAAGCAAGTGAGCCATCAAGTCATGAAGAGACTGGAAAGAGACTGGAGGAACCTCAAATACATATTATGTAAGTGAAAGACAACAATCTGGGAAGGCGGATACTTAATGGTTCCAACGGCATGACATTTTGGTAAAAGGCAAAGCTGTGGGGACAGTACAAAGACGGTGTCTTCCAAGGGCTAGTGGGGAGAGACAAGTACACAGCAGAGAGGGGTCAGGGTTTGTGCAACTACCCTGTGTAATGCCGTGTTGGCAGGTACGAGTCTTAGACATGTGTGAAAAACTATACAGTTCCCAGAGTGAACCTAAACTTCACACTTTGGATAATACGATAAATGAGATATATCAGTAAGGATGTGCTGACAGTGATGTGTGGTGACAAATGTCCCACTCCGATGTGGGATGTTGATGAAGGCGGTGGCTGTGCATGGTGGGGGGACAGAGGGTATATGGGAACCCCTCTATATGATTTTCCACTGAATTTTGTTATGAAACTAAAACTGGGGACCAGCAGATGGCGTAAAGGTTACAGCACTGGACTCACACATGGTAGGCTGCAGTTGGAATCCCCGAACCGGGATTGTGCGTGGGTGCCCAAAATCCTGAGAGGAGAATGGAGGAGAAGGGATTGCAGCGTGGCCATCCCCCGGGGGGTGATTTCTCACATGCACCCTATAGCAAAAATCTCTCTTTTAAAGAAAAGAAAGTGAGTAAAACGGTACATTTTGTTATGTGTAATTTATGATTCAGAACGTTCCTGGCAGTTTGGTTCACATCTGCAAAGTGGAAATGATATAAATGCCTGCCAACTGCATTTACAGTGAGTGAGGCCAGGGACTGTGCGTGGCCGCACAACGGGGTGCAATGCAGCCGTGCTGAAGTACGGACGGCTGCTACCCCAGCGGCACAGGCGAAGCTCAGGACTGCAGCGCCGAGCGCATGCTGTCAGATGTTATTTGCATCACACTCAAGAACAGGCAAGGCTAACTTTTGCTATTAGAAGTCAGAGTGGGGCCAGACCCATGGCTTAGTGGTTAAGGGAGCCAGATCCCACATGGCTACCACAGTTCGGTTCCCAGGCCCCTGCAGCTTGGAAAACACACCAGCTCTGTGTATGTACATGCACCAAAGCTGACAGGATGAAGAAAGGGAGAAGGGACTGCAACAGGACCATGCCCCACTGGTGTGGTGCCGGCCCCCCGCCCCCTGCCCCGATGATGCGTGCGTGTGCTCTCTGGCAACAAAAAGCAGTCAGGGTAGTGCTTATTCTTGGGAGGTCAATAGTGATCAAGGGGGGGACACGC